GGGAAGTCGGAAATGGGGCTGCAATGAAACTTATTGTCAACATGATCATGGGCAGGTTCTACCGAGTTCCTTTCGTCAATTGTTTTCTGTTTTGCTTCTATGCTGGATTATATTGTGACACCTGGTGTTTTCAACAATTTGCAGTATGATGGCAACCTTTTCTGAAGGATTGCTTCTCAGCGAGAAAGTAGGACTGGACCCAAATGTACTGGTTGAGGTATTTGTGAACAGAAAATCTTGTTAGATTATGTCGTGTCACTTGTCATCAAACCCCATGAAGATTAACTGAATTCATACTCTTGTTTACTTTTTGTTGGATTATTCTTGTTCTTTCTATCTCATTTGTACATGCACAATGATAATCATTGCTCTGCCGTTCTCTGCAAAATAAATGAAGAAACTCGTTGATTTTCAGTCTTTTATTTCTTCGTCTGCGTTTGTTTGTGTACGAGAGAGAGAGGTTCTGAATGACGCTTAACTAAAATTCCTTGGTCAAAATGAATCAAGGTGTTGCACCCTTCTTGTTCAATAACAGCACTTAATGGAAGAGTACATCCAAAGTGGACCTCATTTGTTAGGTGTTCTGGCTTGAAAAACTCTTAAAATTAAAGCGTGCACTCTTCTTCCTTGTCTTTGTTGGTCAAACTAAAAGCCTCCAGTTTATAGAATGATGTTATCTTTTTTATTTTATTTTATTGTTTTTGAAGGCATCTATTGAAGCCTCTTAGGAATCTTCTTACATAGGTGAAATTGCAGGTAGTGTCCGAGGGTGCCATTAGTGCACCGATGTACTCGCTGAAAGGTCCCTCAATGGTCAAATCTCTATACCCCACTGCTTTTCCCTTAAAGCATCAGCAGAAGGTTTGTAGATATTCTAAATTGCAGACACGATTTAAATCAACGCTGTCATCTCAAAAATGAAGTCAATGGTTTCAGGACATGAGACTTGCCCTGGGATTAGCAGAATCTGTTTCCCAACCCACTCCAATTGCAGCAGCTGCAAATGAACTATACAAGGTAGCAAAAAGTCACGGGCTTAGCGACAGTGATTTTTCAGCAGTAATCGAAGCACTGAAAGGAAAAGTGCAATCCTGAGCAAACTAGTGTGTTTTTTTCCTGGTTACGAAGGAGAGGCTTGTACCTGAGACCTCGAGTTTTCTTGTATGTCGTCATCACCAGCCTGTGGTCTTTTTTCTGTGTTAGTACATGTCTGTCGGGAAAAAAAACTACGTAGTCCCTAAACTAAACTAGTGATAGTTTTTGAACAAGGAATTTACCGTAATTAATAATTGATGTGCAAATTCATTGCAATAAATATGGGTGTAGCTTATAAATAAATAAAGAAAAGATGTTTATTTTATATTAGAAAAAAAACACTTTTTTCTAATGTTGGGTTTCTATTTTATAGTAAATTAAGTTATGGTGAATAAAATTTTTTATTTGACTTTCTAGTGTTATTATTTAGATATTTAAAATATCAAAAGATATTATTTGGAACTTGAAACTTAATATGAATAGTTATATTATTTCATGAATAGTCATGTTATTTCATGAACAATCATGTTATTCCATTAACAATCATATTGTTTAATGGACAATTATAGTGTTGAATAGTGGTTCATCAACAGTTATATTGTTTGATGAATAGTAATATTATTTCATCAATAGTCATATTGTTTAATGAACAACCATGCTGTTTCATTGTTATGTTTCAAGTCTATAAAAACATGTTACTATAAAAAAAAACACAATAAAAAAAATACATATATTCTTTTTTTGCTTTTATCTTCTCATTCTTTTAGAGGTTTAAAGGGTTTAGTTGTATCCTAGAGGTGTTGTCTTTGTGTGGGATAAATAAACATCTTAAAGATAGTGTTTTTACATCTCTAAATCAACTCTATACTTGTTTCCATCCTAAACATTTCTAATAATTTTAAGGTGTTTATTTTGATGGAGACAAATATAAATTCTATCGTCAAAGTTGCTAAGGATGTCAAAATTTAACTAGATCGGTTTGATAGTACGAATTACACAAGATGAATGGATAAGATGATATTCCTGCTCATTTCATTAAAGATTTCTATATTTTTTATCCGAATTTATTTGCACTACCTGAACCATAAGAAGATGAATCTGCCACTATTAAGATTGCAAGAGTAAAAAGTGAAGAAGATGGGGTGCTTTGTCGAGGACATATGTTGAATACTTTGACCAATTGACTTTATGATATCTTCTCCAAATTAAAGTCGCCAAAAGAAATTTGAGCTGCCTTGGAGACACACTATAAGCAGGAAAAATCAAGTTTTGATTGTTTTCTTGCTTTAAAATTTTTTGAGTATGAGATTACTGATAATAAGCCAATCATGGATCAAGTTCATGAAATTCAAATGCTGATATCAAAACTTAGTGATTTGGATATCAAAATTCCTGATTCACTTTAAATGGGGCTGTTTTATCAAAACTTTCTCCATCCTAGAATGAATATAGGAAGAAGATGTTGCATTCTACAAACAATTATACCTTTAAACAGTTTCAAACACACTTGCAAATTGAGGTTCAATCTTATATGCGTGAATTGCAAGCAACAAATTCTAAAGTGAATTTGGTTACCGAAACTAGTTTAACAATGACTCAAAACAATTTGAAAGTGCAAAAGAAAAGGAAACAAATTCAGGAAGAAACAAAATGCTAATAAGAAGCATAAAGTTTGTTTCCATTGTGGAAATAAAGGGCACAATATAAAAGAGTGCAGATTCAAGAATTTCAATAAGAAAGGTAGTTCTTTCAAAGTGAATATGGTTAAAAAAGATGAAGTTAGGGAGTTAGTTGCCGTGGTTTCTAACATTCAAATTAGAATGATTATTGAATTAAATATGACAATTAATGTTGTAAAGACTTCAGATTGGTGGCTGGATTCTGGTGCAACAATTCATGTTTGCAACAACAACGCATGGTTCAAGACTTATAAAGAATTGAAAAAACTTGAAGAGGTTTTGATGGGCAATCATAATTCTGCCAAAGTTTTAGGAAAAGGAACTATTGAGTTGTACTTTATTTCTGGACAAAAATTATCTTTACTCAATGTGTTTCATGTTCCTGAAATTAGAAAAAATCTTGTATCTGCTAGTCTTTTGAGCAAGAAAGGGTTCAAGATTGTTTTGGAGTTTGATAAAGTTATTGTAACTAAGAGTGGAATGTTTGTGGGAAAGGGTTATTCCTATGATGACATGTTTGAGTTCAGTATTAATAAAATCAATGTTATTTCTACTTATATAGTTGAATCTACTTCTCTTTTTTGACATGCTAGATTAGAACATCTGAATTATAGATATTTGAAATATATGTGTAAGCATGATTATATTTCATATCAACAAAACTAATAAAAATAAATATGAAGTGCAAAGAAGCCTTTTTCTAAAGTAGAAAGGAATTCTCAATTACTTGAGTTGGTCCATTCTGATATATGTAAAATAAATGGTATGTTAACAAGGGATGAGAAAAGATATTTCATAACTTTCATTGATGATTATTCTCGTTTTATCTATGTTTACTTGTTAGAACTAAAGATGAAGCTTTTGGAAAACTCAAGGAATTTAAGAAAATGGTAGAAAATCAA